ATCATGAGTCGTTGCCACTCATCGCCTTTCTGAGGCGTGACTACCGATTCGACTCGACCGGGGTTCGAGTCCCCGTCAATGCATTCTTTTTTGCACCATCCTGGTGAGCCCCCTTTTGGCACTCTTTGGTTTGACATGGCGGCGGTCTTGTTGCGAGTCGATATGACACACACACTGTTTGATGTTGATGCTGCAAAAGGAAGCGATTGGTGATTGCGGATGGGGGGTTGTGCTAGTGCATTTCGAACGAGAAGCCCTGTAGCGCAACGGAAGCGACGATGAGTGCTGTGCTTGCTTCGATGCTGTTTGCGGGGGGTTGTCTTGGGGACTCACGTCTGCGATTTCGTAATCGGCAAGGGTGATGTGATCTTTGTAGACGGTATACCACTTTTTCAAGATGATCTGCTCTCCCCCACGATCATCAGTACGCAGTGCCTTTGTCTGGGAGCGCGGTCGGTGGAAGGGGGCGACTTACCTTTTGTGGCGGCGTACCGGTCTGTGCGGCAATGAGCTTTTTCAGGTCGCCAATCGTGTCTTCCGGCGAACACTTGACTCGAACTGCGAACACCACAAGCAGGATCAAGTCAGCAAGGTTGAAACGTATTGATGGGCGATGAGAAAGAGCGGGAGGGATGGAACGAACCTTTGCGTCCGAGTCGGTCATTCGCAAGCACCTCGATCATCGGCATTGTCGACCCCAAATCTCCAAAGTATCGGTGAGCGCAAGCGTCGTTGAAGTGTAGTTGAAGACTGCCCGGCGAATAGCAGAGTGATGGCGATGGGAAAAGAAGAGAGACGATGTCGAGGATGGGAAAAGGGACTGTGCTCTCTGCCTCCACCTTGCGAGTTTGAGTGCAGCCAAAAAAATAGGGTCCAAGGTGCAAAGAGGTAAAAAGAAAAAAGTGGAAGGTGGGAATCGAACCCACGACCTCAAGATCTTTGATTCCGTGTAAAGGGAATGTTGCAATCTCACGCCAAACCACTAAGCCTCTCCCACTGCTATCGGGCCTTCTTCCGCTTGAGCCATTATATAGCCTTTGTCACAAGTGTGAGGGTGGGGCAATGACGCGCATTCGCGTGCTTGGCTTGGCTCTTTTCGGGATTGATATGCGGACTGCATGTGGAGCGATAACCAACAATCCTATCGATCTTTGGGCTCAGATTTCCTCGGCTCTTGCTTTGCTACCGTCATCATCCTCCCCTACTTCGCCTCAGGCATACACTACATCATGGTAAAGTAGCAGCAGTCTCGATGTCAACGGTGTTGTAGCCAGATTGCTGATGCTGGTGTGTTTTCGAGGCTAGACCGAGTCTCGTGCGCACATTTCGATTGGCGAGACGCCGGTAAGGCCGTTGTCGTCGTCGCCGCTTTCGCCGCCACGCAAGTCGCCCATGCCGCCGTGCTCGTCGTCCACATCGGCACCTCCCGCGGAGATCGAATCGAGACTCACGCGGTTGTCGACGCAACCCGGTGTGTTGGGCTGTCTGGTGCTCAGCCGCCGTGATGGACTGGTGATTAGGAGCGGTGGTGCCATGTTTGACCCCAGCGGACCCGGCGCGAATCAGAGGGCCGAGATGCTCAAGAGCGTCACGAAGCTCGTCCGGTCCAGTGTGGATGATCTTGCGCGCGACATCAAGGCCATCGATCAGAGTGTAAGTGCCGAGAGTGCAAGCAGATGCAAGCAAAAGTGCTGACAGAAAGCGTGCGGGTCAGGACGAACTGGGGTTCTTGAGGATCAGGACCAAGAAGTACGAGATCATGGTCACGCCCAATGACAAGTACCTGCTTGTAGTGCTCCAGGTATGTCTGCACAAACCAGCCAAGATGGAACGCAGATACTGACGTGATTTCTCCGGGATGCTAGGACCCAAACATCGCCCCGCAGTGATCTCAGCACAACGCGGCGATCGCCGTCCGCTCCGACTCTTTTGTCTCTATGATACCCGCAACACTCTATCTTGCTATCCGTTCGCAACTGGCACATGATCTACTTTTCATTGCGCGCGTGCTGCAGTTTGGCTACGAGCTCGGCCGCCTTGAGACGGTGTCGAAAGATCTCTGCTCAACACTCCCAAGTGAGCAGTCATGGTTGCAAGTATCGCCAGGAGGGAGGAGGGGAAGACTCACCTTGTCCGTCGAGATGCAGCACGGGGATGTCGTACTGGTACTTGCGGCGCCAGTAGTGCACGTCGTCGAGCGAGTCGTCGCGGATGTTGTATGTGGCGAGGGTGAGCGGTACGTGCTGTGCGGCTGTGGCGATTTCGTTGCGCATCACATCGCAGAGCTGACAGTCTGTACCCGTGTACAGTGTGAGCTTGAACACCCGCCCCGTTTGGGCAGAAAGCAAGCGTAGCGAGGGTATCATTGTGTCGATGGAGGCAGTGAGGAACGCGCCTTTTTTGGTGGCCATACGCGAGTCATTTCGAGGACCCTTGTTTCTCCTCCACCACCATCCGCATACCTTGGGACGCAAATGTCGCAATCACCACCAGAAGACAGCGGTGGGATGCCACCAGAACGCAAACGCAAACGCTCCGAGGAGGGAGACGTGGGCGTGTTTGTCGACATCCCGCAGCCGTCGAGCTCGGCCATGCAGGCGTTTCATGCGGCGCAACACAGCCAACCGGGCACGCAAGTCTCGTTGCCAGCGTCGATATTCGACGGTCTCATCAACCCAACCGCCGCAGCTGAATCCCACTCGGAGTACGTTCCCTCCAGCCATGCGGATTCGTCGGTGGCCGTGGCGGAGGCGATGCGGCCATTGCCGGCGATGGACGTGCGCGCGTTCGAGCCGTTCCTTGACGACACGACGGGCATGGATCTCGACCGGGCAGAGAAGGTGCTGCAACAACGTGTGGACAGCTCGCCGGTGGAGTCGTTCTCGCCTGCCGAAGTGGTGAAACCCCAGGATGTGCCCAGGGTGGGTGCATGGGTGTTGCCCGAGCTCACCGAGGAGAATGCGAATCCAATGCTGCCCGATTATACGTCGCAGGAGGTGCTCAGCCAGATTCCGTACCCGATTCTGGACAGGGAGGAGGAAGAGGCGCAGCAGATGGGGTCGCAACCATCGCCCGAGCGGCAAAGGTCCTCGCCAGCGCCAGTCCAATCGACTCCAGCAAACCCAGTGATGCAGTCGGAGCCAGAGATGGTGCTTACGCAGCCCATCCCCGACGCGCCCGAATCCACGCCCGCACTGCCACCACCCACCGCGGTTGCGAGCCAGGTGGATGCTTCGTCCGGCTCGTCGACGAGCTCCTTGGGCTGGTCGGCTCTCCCCCGCCGCGAGGTGATTGAGCTTGTGCATCGCTCCCCGCACATCCCCGAACTTCTCAAGGACGAGATCGAGCGATTCATCATGCGCGCCTCGCGCACCGCCGCAAAACCGCGCCAATCTCGTGGATGCCACTCGCAATCGCGCAGCAACGACGATTCGGAAACGCAGGAGGACGGCGTACTGCGCACGAAAAAAGTATGGTGCATGGACCTGCTCCTCCTCTCACCCTCCTCGTCTCAAATGGTAGGCTCCGAGTTGGTGCAGAGGTTGACGCAGCAGACGCAGAGTCAGTCGCAATCGACACGGGGTGCGGTGGCGGTGATCCTCATGCTCGATACGCACGAGTGTACGTTTGACGTGCACGAGCTCGACGAGTCGCTCGCCGCCGTGCTGCGTGCGGATCGTCGATACAGTGTGCAGTTCGATGCCGAGGGTAGGCGATGGAATCCAACCACGGCTGGGGTGGAGGATGAAGGCGAGGCTCGAAGCAGTGCATTGGAGCAACGGGTCGAAGCGTTACTGCAAGAGGTGGAAAAGCTGGGGGAAGAGAAAAAGGTGGTGGAGAGGGAGAGGGACGAGGTGCGGGGGCAGCACGACTTTGTGCGTGGGCTGTACGACCGTGCGTCCGCAGCGGCTGCCAGTGCCCAGTCGGCGCTAGGCGAGGCTGAAGCACGAGCAGGGCTGTTGGAGCGACAGCTGACGCAGGGGTTGAAGGTGCATTCTGCCGCGCTCGAGATGCAGGTGTCGAGGTGGAAGGGCAAGGTGCGCAGGCTCGAGGCGCAGGTGCAGCTGTACGAGGCACAGGATAGACGCACGGATCAAGGGGTGAGGAAGAAGGCGGCACTGTGGGATGCGTTGCAGCGCGAAGAGAGCGAGAGGGAGAAGATGCGGCTTGATCGGATTAGGGCGCACGACGAACGCAAGAGGCAGATGGGGGATGGTCTGGGTCCTTTTGCCCCGCCTCAACGCAACGAGCCAAGTGAGCTTCCCGACTCCAAGGCGATGGAGGCGGAGGGTAGTGGCGAAGAGATGGACGAGCTTGCGGCACTTGCACTGGAAGCGGCCGAAGCTGGCGATACCCCGGCAACCGGTCGCAGTCGTCGTTCGCGGCGTGGGTTGGGTGCATCCCACCCGCCACCCGCGGCAGGCGAGATGGCCGCGCAGGTGGAAGCGGCTAACCTTGCGTCGGCTACAGCGAGGCAGGATTCGGCACAGGATGTCGAGGATCAGTTTGCGCTCTTCCCGACACCGTCCGCGCCTGTGTGGACGCAGAGTCTGCCGTCGAGTCATGCCGAGGTGGGAGGCGAAGAGGTGTTTCCCATCACCCAGCCATAGCCCCCTAACGCGCGAAAGAGAATAGAATCCAATCGGCATGCTCGATCTTGTAGCTCAATCTTGTGCTTTGCGCAGGTGGGCAGGTTCCACCCGCGCAAGACAGCGTGCACAACCGACGCCCTGAAGGTCAAGCTGATTCGGAGCGGTTTCGATGGCGCCCTGTGCGCTCGGACGAGGTTCTGACATCCGATGCAGCACTTCTCGCACCGAAGCATCGTGACAGCGCTTCGATACTGCGCGATTCCGCGCGACGATGCGATTCAGGGGTGGCAGCTTTTTTGGATCGAATCAACGGCGGCATTCATCACGCAGCCGCAAGCCGAGGAAAGCGGCATGAAAGCGGCAAGTTTTGTTTGGGCCAGGCCGCGTGTGTGTGTGTGTGCATGGCGTTGCTGCTGCATCTCGGATGCGACGAAAAAGCGTCAAGCATGGCATTGGGCGCCGGCATGGGGCGCCGGCATTGGGCGCCAGCATGCAACGTAGACCGTTGTGAACGATGGCAAAGCATGGCAAGCCCACACCGCGCCACCAAAGAGTTGCGCCGCATCCACATTGAACAGCCTTGTTTTCCACTCGGCGACAGCTTGCCAAAGCGGGTTTTTTGGAGAGGATCACACACACACGCACAGCATCACGCACAGCATCTCGCACAGCATGGCACCCATCCAAGGTTCAAGCTCGCCAAGGAAGTTGGGCATAGGCTGTCTTGGCATTGGCAATCTTGGGCTACTTGTTATCGCGCTGCGCCTTGAACTTGTCCACCCACTGCTTTTCGGCGTCTCCCTTTGGCAACACGACCAAACTCAGGATGCCATCCTGCATGACGAGACCATCTCGATCTCTGACCTTGTCCATGCCCGGTTCGGCATCCTTGTACGCCTGATCCATCACATGACGCAAGGTCAACTTTCGGCCGAGCTTGAGCAGTCGCTGACGCCTGGTGCTTGCATACACGACCAGGTTGCCATCGTAGTACTCGCCCGCCGTATCCCACGGCAAAGACCCGCGTGAGGAGGCAGGGAAGATGGTGGAAAGGTACTCGCCCAGCGGTGTGTCCTCGTGAAAGTCCGAGATAAAGTCGCTCTGTGCGTGTTGTGGATACATGAAGAAGACCGGCACAACGAGAGGTGTTCGAATCACGTCTGGCACGCTCCATTTTGACGACTCGGGACCGGTGAGTGGGATCGAGGGGGTGGAGGAAGGGTCAAAGTGCGCAGGCGTTGGATTGTCGGGTGGACGAGGCGTAGTTTCCAACCACAGGCCGCGAACCACGAGCGCTTGCTGGATGGCTTTGGCCATCAAGTCGGCTCGACGAGTGCGTTCTTTAGCTTCAGCCTGCGACTTTTCGATGGCAGCAAGTCGAGTTGCGGCCTTGAGCTTGAGCGCCGCAATGGCATCGTTGTCCGGATTGACGCCAAGCGCATGGTCGCAGCAATCCACGGCATCCTTGCATCGATCGAGCGCAATCAGCGCCTTGGCTGCGCGATAGTACGCCTTTTCGTTCTTGGCGTTGATGGCGAGCACCGCCGAAGTGTCTCTCAACGTCGATCCGTAGTTCTGCAGCTCCAAATGACACGCTGCACGATTGGCATGCAGGGTTTCGAGAAGAGCCTTGTCTTGCGGGTTGGCGTCGATGGCTTGGGTGTAGAATCCGAGCGCCTCGCGAAAGCGGCGTGCGCGAAAGTAGTCGTTGGCCTGCTGCTTAAAGTTGGCGGCGACTTCGTCGGGCGAGCCGTCGAATGCGAGCGACTGGAGTGCGTCGAGTGCGGTCTGTGTGTCGGCATCGGCGTCGGTGGGGAGGTCCTTCATGAAGAGCGGCACCGAGTCCCAGGATTTGAGCGTCGAGTCTACATCGCGTGGCTGGTCGGATGGCTGCGCATACGTGAAATCGCCAGAGCGAGGAGGTGGGCGAGGCAGCGGCGCGCGTGCAGACGACGCCGAGCCAGAATCCAGCGGTTCAATCACGGCCATGTTGGGGGGTGGTTGGTGGTGCAGGCAAAGATGGTTGGTGTGGAGGAAAAGGCGGAAGAAAAGGCCGAGCGGCTTGGTCAAAATTCCACCCCGCCAAAAAGCGAAGCTCCGATTTCCGAAGTTTGAAGCATCACCATTCGAAGCTGGATGGGGACAAGCATGGCATTGGTGCATGGTCAAGGTGCGGGCTATCGGCGCGACTTGGGCATGGGTACAAAGGCATCCAGCGGCGATTTGGACATCTCGCGACGTGCGCGCTCGCGTTCTGCGTCGTCGTTGGTGCGTTCGGCTCGTCTTGCGGCTCTGCGGTTCATTGCGTCTTGCAGATCGGCTGATGGTTGTGGTTCGGATTGCGTATCTGGGTCGAGCTGACCTTTGGCGGCGAGACGAGCGCGACTTGCAGCCCAGACGTCGTCGTCGGGTCTCCTCTCCTGCTGTAGCGGCTGATCGCTTCGCTGTGGCGGCGGCTGTTCGCTTACGATGCGACTCGCTGCTTGCTGTTCCACCTCGGCATCCAGGACGGTAGCGGTGGGCATGGCCGAGTTGGAGTGTAGGAGGGTCTGGGCGCGCTGTTTTGCGCTTTCGTGCTCCTCGATTCGCGCCTGCTGTTCGTTTTGCCTGCGCTGCTGGTCTTCGAGTGCGAGACGGGCGGCGTTGGCCTGGGTGGTGAGGATGCGCTGGCGGTCGCGTGCGAGCTCCTCGATGCTGGGCGGATCGCGGCGCGTATGGCGCAGCCACATGACCCACTGCACGGGGATGGAGCGCTGGTCGTAGTCGCCCATCTCCCTTTTCTCCTTCCACTGGATCGAGCGGCGGGTATGGCGCGGATCCAACGAGCCCGAGAGCGACGGCAGCTCGAGGTAGGCATTTCCCACCAGATCGTGGCCCACGATGTAGCGTGCCTTGCCGATGCGCAGCGTTCGTGCGATGGATTGTAGCAGGCTCATCGTTGTTCCTTCTAGAGATGGTGGCAGCGGCTCAAGGATGGCGAAGGCCAAAACCAAAGAAAGGCCAAAGCATAGTCGGTGCTTTCGGATGTTCCTCCACTCTCACCACCCAATCCCACGCCGCTTCCCGCGCTGACCAAGCCGTTCGGAAGAGCCGGTGGTGCGATTTTTTTATTTTTTGATTTTGATTTTCAAAATAATCTTTGCTGGAGAATGCAGCCCCAAAAAAGGCCGGATTTATTATATTTGGTCGCTTTTCTCCACTTTTCGGCCTCGATCGATCACGCGCTGGGCCTGCACGCCGCCAAAGTGTTGTTCTCGGCGCGGCACGAAATGGCGTGGAAAATCAACAAAGCGTGAAGCTGGGAGAGGAGAAAAGGCAAGTGCGCTTGGACCCCACTTGGCTTGGTCGCCGCCATCGTTCCTTCCTCCCACCTCCATCTTTGCTCCCCCTCTCATAATTTGCAACCATGGCGTCGGCACCGCCGTCACAGGAGCATCTGCAGCTCGTCTGCACCATCCTCGCACAGACACTCGACCCCGTTGACCGCAAAAACGCCGAACAGCAACTCACACACGCGCAGTCCCAACCGGGCTTCCTCCAGATCCTCGTCGCCGTCATCCAGAATGCTGCCATCACTTCCAACGATGCGGTGCGTCTCGCCGCTGCCATCAAGCTCAAGAACATCTGCAAGACCGCCTGGGACCAAGAATCCGCCGAAGAATCCGCCGTAGCGGCACCCGTCAACGACGCAGACAAGATCGCGCTCAAGCAGTCCATCATCCCGCTCCTCGTAACCATCTCCACCACCACAGACGGAAGGCCACCCGCCCCCACAAACGTACGATCCCAGCTCGAAGAGGCCATCGCCCTCGTCGCAGACAAGGACTTCCCGCACCACTGGCCCGACCTCATGGACCAACTCGTACCCAAACTCGCAGACCAAGACCACCAGCTCGTCCTCGGCATCCTACGCACCGCACACTCCATCTTTTACCGCTGGAGGTCCGCTTTCCGTAGCGACGCGCTCTACAGCGAGATCAACTACGTGCTCGCCAAGTTCGCCCTGCCCCATCTCGAGCTGCTCACGCGCACCGACCAGCGTCTCCTCGACCCGGCAACCCCCACCGCAGCCCTGCCCGTGCTCGGCAACGTCCTCAACATGGCCCTCCAGATCTTCTACGACCTCTCCAGCCAGGACCTGCCGCCCCAGTTCGAGGACAACATGCAGCCCATCACCGACATCCTCGCCCGCTGGATCCAACACGCGCGTCCCGAGCTCGACCAAGACCCGGACGAGCCGTGCACCCTCCAGCACATCCGCAGCTCCATCTGCGAGATCGCAGAGCTCTACGCAAAACGCTACCTCGACGCCTTCCCGCAGCTCCCCACCTTTGTCCAGGCCATCTGGCACATGCTCGGCTCCTGCACCCTCTCCCAAAAGTACGACACGCTCGTATCCAAGGCCGTCGCCTTCCTCTCCACCGTCGTCCGCATGGGCAGCTCGCGCGAGATGTTCCAGTCCCAAGAAACGCTCGAACAGCTCTGCAGCGCCATCATCCTGCCCAACATCGCCATCCGCGAGGCGGACGAAGAACTCTTCGAGGACAACCCCATCGAGTACATCCGTCGCGACCTCGAGACCTCCATGGAGGCCGACACGCGCCGCAAGGCCGCCTCGGAATTCTGCCGTTCGCTCATGGAGTTCTTTGCGACAGAAGTGACGTCGATCGTGTCGAGGTACATCGTGCAGTACCTCGACCAGTACCGCGCCGACCCCGCCGCCAACTGGAAGCAGAAGGACACCGCCATCTATCTGCTCACCTCGATCGCATCCAAGTCGTCCACCGCACAGCACGGCGTCACCGCCACCAACGAGCTCGTCGACGTCGTCCAGTTCTTCTCGGACAACGTCTATGCCGATCTGCAGGCGAGCGCACACGACTCGCCCAGCCCCATCCTCCAGGTGGACGCGATCAAGTATCTGCACACCTTCCGCAACCAGCTCACAAAGGAGCAGCTCGTGGGCGTGCTGCCGCTCCTCGTACAGCATCTGGAAAGCGAGCAGTACGTGACGTGCTCGTATGCCTCGATCACCATCGAGCGCGTCCTCGCGCTCAAGCGCGACGGCAAGATGCTCTTCACTCCGCAGGATGTGCAGCCGTTTGCAGAGAACATCCTCATGGCGCTCTTCCGCAACATCGAGCGCGGACAGACGCCCGAGAAGCTCGCCGAGAACGACTATCTAATGAAGTGCATGATGCGCATGCTCGCCACGGTGCGCGAGGCGATTGCACCCGCACACGCCGTCCTCCTCGACCACCTCGCCAAGATCCTCACCGAGATTGCCAAGAATCCTTCCAACCCGCGCTTCTCCCAGTTTCTCTTTGAGAGCATCGCGGCGTTGGTGCGCTATACCGTCGCGGCGCAACCCGACAGCCTGGCGGCGTTTGAACAGCAGCTGTTCCCGCCGTTTACGATGATCCTCAGCCAGGACGTCGCCGAGTTCCAGCCGTACGTGTTTCAGATCCTGTCGCAGATGCTCGAGCTGCATCCGGGTGCGGCGGGGTTGCCCGAGGCGTATGCGTCTTTGCTGCCGCCCATCCTCACGCCGGCGTGCTGGGAGAACCGCGGCAACGTGCCCGCGCTCGTCCGGCTCGTCAGGGCGTTCCTCGCCAAGGATGCAGCGCGCATCGTGGCGCAGGGTCAGTTGGGTGCCATGCTGGGTATCTATCAGAAGCTCATCGCGACGCGCGTCAACGAGGGCCATGCACTCGAGCTGCTCGAAACGCTCTTCGAGGCTGTACCTGCCGACGCGCTCGAGCAGTACCGTCGTGCAGTGCTGACGCTGCTGCTGACGCGGCTGCAGCAGAGTCGAACCGACCGTCTGGTCAAGGGCACGATCCATCTCGTGGCAGCGGTGGCGCTGACGTCCAAGGGGCCCGAGTACATTGTCGACACGTTTGAAGCGGTGCAGCCGGGTCTGTTTGGTCAGATTGCCCAGGGCATTCTTGCCCCCGAGCTGGCCAATGTTGGTGAGAGGCACCGCCGCGTGGTGGGGGTGGGATTCGGGCTGTTGCTGACGAGCGCCAAGCTGCGCGAGCCGGCCCATGCGCCTGTGCTGCCCGTGCTGCTGTCGGCGCAGATCAAGCTGCTGCTTACGCCCAGTTCGGCTGCGGCGCAGGAGGACGAGCTGTGGGCCAACGACGACGACAGTACCGCCGCCGCCACGTTCCAGGCTGCCTTTTCGCGGCTCGCGGCGTCCGAGACGCAGCGTGTAGACCCCACGGCGACGGTGCTCAAGGATGCACCCGTGCACGTGTGGTTTGCGGGCAGGTTGCAGCAGATGCAGTCCGAGCTGGGCGCCCAGTGGGAGGGCGTGTGGAACCAGGTGCCGCAGGATCTCAGGTCGGCTTGGGCACAGCGTGTGTAGCTGAAGAAAATACAAGATTACGAGTCGTGCAGCGTGTAGGGTGCGAGTGCGTGTACGGCCGAGGCAGGGGTGACGATGAATCGTAAATGCGCCTGCGATGCGGGTAGGTCGAACATGGACGGTCCGGCAGGATTGAGTACGACGGCGGCCTTGCGTACGTGGGTGTATCGCTTGTCGTCGTTGGGATCTTTGACGCGACCGTTTGTGCGGGTAAGAACGAGCCGAGTGTGGATGAGGTTGGTCCAAGTGTGTCCGAGTTGTGCCGTGCGTGGATGGAGCGTGTAGAGTGGAGAGTCGGAGTCGGTGGTGGTGGTGGTCATGGCTGCAGCTAGGGTAGGTGGAACGCTGGCGAGCAGTCCACTAGTGTAGGCGGACTGTGCGGCGTACTCCATGGCTGCTGGATGATCCGCCACGACGTCAGTGCGGCGGCTGGTGCGCGAGGCCGAATCAAAGACGAAGCGACGCGCGAGGTCTTTGTCGATGCCAAAGGCGTCACTGACATGGTTGATCACCACCACAGCCGCCGAGGTGCGCTTGAGTGCATCGGCAACGTCGACGAGCCAGCGAGAACGGTGGACGAGCGAGTCGATATCGCCCGCTACAGGGTCGTCCTGAAACAGTGCGGGTAGATTGTCCACCACTACCATGCCGATGTCGGTGCGAGAGGTGAGGGCGGGGAGCTGGTAGCGCAAGACGTGGTCGAGAGCCTCAATGTCCGCGACGCACGCCACGTGCAGGTTGCGCAAAAGTTGCGCGCGACCAAGCTCCACCGCGCGCTCCACCTCGTCCGCATTCGGGTGTAGGTGGAAGCGGTGGCGAATGGCGGATGAGGCTAGCTCTAGTGCACGCGACACGATGCTGTGTGCAGCTCGCTCGCCACTCGAGGTGATGTAGCATACACCTACGCCGTCGTCGAAACTTTGCTGGGACGGAGGTGGGATTGAGGATGCGAGTGGGGACAGTCCGAGCGCGGCAAAGGCGCACGCCTGGATGGCGATCTGCGTCTTGCCCGATGCGCTCTCGCCCACGATCTCGGTGAGGAGGGAGGATCGTAGACCGCCCGAAAGCAGCGCGTCGAGTTCGGGCGAGCCGGTGGTGTAGACGTGACGTGGGCGGCCATGCACAAGCGCATCGCTAGTCTGTGCCGGCGCCGAATCGTGCCAGTCGGGATGGCGCTCGAGTGGCCGCGTGGGTTCGACATCGTCGTTGTCAATCGCGGCGCTGCTGTCGTCGTCGTCTTCGGAGTCGTATACGAACTGGTGTGCGCCGGGGAAGTTGCCATCGTATCCCTGTGTGGGCGGCACGAGCCTCGCGTCGATCGGCTCGTCGTCGGTGTGCGAATCGCTCGAATCATCCGTGTGCTCCCCGAACAAGTCGTCGCCAAGCGGTGGGGGTGCAATGCCATTCAGCGCATCGAGCACAGAGATTGTCGAAGCTTTGGCCGCGGTCGCCACCTGGAGCAGCAGCAGCTCGACGTCGGCTGGGGCGAGTCGCAGCGCCTGTTGGAGGTGGAGCGGGGGTGTGAGGAGGAGCTCGTGCGTGCTAAACAGCTTGGCGCGTCGACAGCATGCCTTGATGCGTTTGGAGAGCCAGGGGACGTCCGAGATGGCCAGGATCGACATGACGGCCGAACGAGGCTGAGCTGAGCATGTTGAGCTTGGATGGTGAGGAAGAAGCTCCTCCACCCTTTGCGCCGACTGAGCCTCTTTGGCCAAAGTGTTGGTCTTGTGCGAAACGCGCGTGCGCGATCCATTTACGCGACTCGCCACATCGGCGCCATCGGCGAGATCGGGAGTCGATTTGTGGCTTCACCGGAAAAACGGCAAAAGAGTCGGCCTCGGCGAAACGTGCGAAGGACGGGACGTGACCGACGTGCATGTGCTCTCCCAAAATGAAAGAAACTGAAAGCTCGCCGATCGGATCGACTGACAGCAGCGGCCGATAGGGAGTGAAGGGACGAGATGCACCCGGCTCGGCGAGCGGCGCGCAGAGAGAGAGAG